CTGTATGTCTCTCTCTCTCTCTCTCTCTCTCTGCTGTGTGTGTGTGTGTGTGTGTGTGTGTGTAACATGCAGTGTGAGGTGTTTTCAGGATTTGTTTTGTGTTTCTGGGGTTAGAAAGTGATGACTGACAAAACTTGGGTTTTTTACGTCCTCTGATTCCCTGGTGTGACTGTTTATTCTTCATTTTGTATTTTTACTCCAAGGAGCTTTTCTTTTTTTTCTTGGTGTTTGATACAATTCTGTTACTTTTAAAATTATATTTATACAGATATACATATTTTTTGTATCTTTTTTTTATCTCTTCTAATGTTAAAAATTCACAAATACGCAGTATTATAGATGATGCATTTTGGACAGTTAACTTTTTTTTTACACTTTGGTTTGAATTGAGAAATTGTATAAATGCTTTACAGTTCTTGTGTGTAAAATGTATGTATAAATTAAATTAACCAACTTGGACTTGGGTTCATTTAAATGTGAAAAGAGCATGAAACGGAACTTTWTGTAAACTGCTCTTGTTATTTTAGGTGGAGTTTACAAATGAAGAATGAAGCACATTTTTATATGTAATATAAAAAGTGATGTAGTCTAAATATAGGATCAGATTAATGTCAATTTTGGCGATTATTTAAATAATTAGCTTGGTGTGTAAGAACTTAAAGCCAAGATGGACCTAAATGTTAGGCTTGTTTGTATTTTCATGTGTTTGTTAGAAAAATATCTCATGAATCAYTGGATAAAATTGAATGACAATTTGAGAACATAATCATTTGTTGTACATCTACGTACAACAAATGAGGTATTTAAAAAGGCTATCTGTACACAGACCACAGAGTACACATTGAGTATTTTTGTCTAATTCAAGATCACAGCCACAGCGAATCAACTTTAGCCAACACAAAATGATTATAACAGTCAGTTTCACAAATATTGAGATAAAGTTTGATGTGGGTATCTGAGAGTCATCCATGACATACTACCACGCACAAGCTCTTGTGATGCATATCTCATAAAGCTTTGTACAAAACAGCTATAGCTCATTTCTCAACACAATAAACTTAGTGAAAACTAAGCCATGAAATGTGAGCGATATACAGTGGGCGCAGATCCCCTAAAGCAGTGTTTCCCAAAGTTGGGGTCGGGACCCAAAGTGGGGTCCTGAAATATAAAGGTGGGGTCCTGAAAAGATTTTCTAAATTAATTACATTTTTGCCTTAGTCGCCTAAAATGTATAAATGTAGAATAAAGCATACAGTATTGTTACTATGCCCAAGTTTAGTTGACCTGATACAAATGTTTATCATCCAAAAATAGTTGTGGGCACAGGTCTCTGCTACTGTTATTTTGTGGGTCAAAAGCTAAAAAGTTTGGGAAACACTGCACTTCAGAAAGCAATTTAAAGGGTAATAAAATAATTGGTGATTTAACATTTTCTCTATAATTGTTACAAAAACACAAAATAAGTATAAATAAGTATTTATATTTGTGTAGTCTTTGTTTTCAGGGTTATTAACAAAGTTTGTGTACTCAGACCAGTAATATTTGGGGGTCACAAGTTTTTGCCATAGATATTTTGTGGGTCAGAAGATAAAACGTTTGGGAACCACTGCCCTAAAGCACCAATAGGGGAACTAATTTCCCGATTAGTGCTTTAGGGCTTTTGCAAATTTTAAAATTTAGTGGATTAGCACTTGCTAAATTAAGAAGCAATAATAGGTCTATAAATGTTATTGATCAATGTTAATGTTAACAGCTGAGGGTGAAAACTGTCGCACATTTTGTTCACGTGTGTCACTTCTCCACCAGGTGACAACATATTGTCAAAACCACAGCTGAGGAATATCAATAAGTCTTAAGAGAGCAACATGTGACTCATGTTGTCTGTTGAAGGATGTTCATGGGTTGACTGGCTTTATTTAGTGCTTTAGAATTAGCTTTTGCTAAAACTTTCTGTGCATTAGTGCTTTAGAATTAGGGGACCAAATATTTGAGTTAGTGTTTTAGGGCTAGTGGAACTAATTTTTAGATTAGTGCTGCCCACCACTGGCGAAATGCAATTCTTCAAGGAATGATAGACAAAAATACTGTTATGTTTTAACTTTCTAAATAAAATTATGTAGAAATCAAAGCAGTCAAATGAAAATTCAAAKACCTCTAACTTATTTTTCCAGTGGTTTTATATCTCAATTTTAATATATATATATTTTTATGAAAAGAAATAATAAAATCAGAGACTCTGCACCCCACTGGGCTGAGAACAAGCAAATTGTTGGCCATAATGAAATGCAATTTTGCAAAATGAAGTACTGTTTTGGTTTAGCAATAAGCTTAATTTGATTTTAGGGTTGCCTTTAAAAAAATAACTAAATCTGACAACAGTGTTTAGCTGACTCAGTAATTTTATGATGCCTTTAAATATGTACTTTGTACATATTGTGGTAAACATCTAAAATACAGTTGTGTATTTTTATTTACTTTTGTAGTACTTATGTGATTTATTTTATTTCATAACTTTCAACAGTGTTTAATTGATCAGTAGTTTCAAACTCACTCTTCATAGCAGTGAACTCTATCTTATTGGACTTTTGTTTTACATTTATCTACTTAATTTCCATTTTCTTGAGGTATACAGRCAGCAGAAAGATGTTTTCAGTAATATAACTATAAACAACCTCYCCGGTGTTATGCGAAAAAAAGTATCCCGTTTAGAGGAGCATGGCAACAAACACTTTTAGTTTTTAGTATCCATCAATCTAAAATATTTTATTTTAATTTAAATGCATAGTGGTTGCTTTTTACAGCACAGCTACGAAATGTGAACTTGGAGTCGCAGTTAAAATATATAGCCAGACGCAGYGCACCATTTGAGTCTAGCCTTTTCCTTTACGGGACGAGGGCACTTTTTTCGGCACAACACCGAGCGCCAAACAGCGTTATTGTCCCACAATGCAGCGCGCGCGTTGCGTCATAGGAGAGGGCCGATGATGGCGGCGCTCGGTGCATCTGAAGTGATCACACAACTGGAAAGCGCTGCCAAAGTTTTAATGGTGAGGTTTTCCTCTTTGTTTTACGGCAGAAACGGGCACGGTGGACGTCTTTTCACCGCCGTTTGACCGGAGTTCGGTGGTTCGAGGTTGCCGGTGGTGTTTTTAAACGTGTTCATGTGTAAAAAAAAAAAAAAAATGCTTTGAGAGCAATGCGTGGCGCAGAGCCTCGCTACTTGTCTCCATCTCGAAAAAAAAAAAATAGAAATAGTCAAGTTTAATTCTTAAATTTCCAATGCTTATYATTTCCCTACTCTTTCCTCCTCCCTCTTAAATTTAGTCCGCATCAGGACGCTGTGTTTATTTTATTTTATTTTTTATTCTTGTTCGTGTTTCCAGAAACTTCAGCGTTTCGTCTCTCCTCAGTTTGCCGCTAAATCAAGTCTTTTTTCGGACTCTCTTCTCGGTGTGTTCGGTTCTGGTTTCCCTCGGTTCGTAGCTTCAGCTTTTCACCCCTCTTTAATCACTACGGACCACCCAGCAGTTTGCCATTTCCCCCATCATTTATCCAACGACGTGGTTAACCGGCTGGGAGCTAACCGTGTCACGTGTGTTTGTTTGCTCTTTGCCATCTTTTAAACCTGTAACCACCCACTGCAAATATGATGATAAGAAAAACATGTTATTTAGTAAAATGGTGAACAAACTTACATAATGTCCTGTAACTCAGTGTTTTGTAGGGGTCTAACAGTAAGTTATCACGTGTTCATCTGAGCATCAGTAATGCCCATCAGCACACAGTGCAGACTAGGGTTGGGCAAAACCGTATAGTGTGCAATTAATCGTCAGAGAAACATTAATCAATTMTTTTTTTGGCTCTTGATTAATATGATTAATCCCACCAGGCAGACTGACTGATTTCTCCGGTCAGTTCACTCGATGTTCTTCTCCAATTTGAAAATGTGAAAAACTCCAATTCAAATATGACAAACATTTTTTTTAAGTTCTGTAATTTATTTATAACATCTCTGGGTTTACTTGGTCTATAAACACAATATAAAAAAAGATGTATAGGTTGAATTCTGTTCTTTAGACAATTTGGAACATATTTTTAGTCATGTGACCAGGATATTAAGGCATCCAGGGGATTAATCGTCATATTAATTGTTATCGGCAAAATACCACAATTAATCTTGATTAATTTTTTTTACCAATATCGCCCAACCCTAATGCAGACATGTCTGATTTAATTTGAGCATAGTCTAATGGAAAATAAGCTTTCAGCAATTACAGATATATATATAT